GGCCAGGTAGAAGAGGACAGTAAAGCAAGGAGGGAGAGGCCCCCCGTAGATGAGTTAGAATTGGGGGCTACAGGCAAATGTTTGAGGATGATTTGGGGATCCCGTACTTTCAGGATGATCAAAGTATGGCAAAGTGGGAGACCCCAACAACCACTGGTCACCCACAGGGGTTAGGGTTACTAAGGGCAGGACAGAAGAGGGTCAAGAGAGAGGGAGGGGTGTTGGGGAAGGTAGGGAGCTAAGGAAGGTGGGGTTCTGGGACAGCTGAGGAGGAGGATGGAGGCCATATCAGGGAGCAGAGGGCGAGGGTGCTGGTCAGTGGGCCCCCCATTTTCCAGGAGTAGAGGTCAGTGGAAGGGATCCCTGTTAAAGGGGAGGGATGGAAGTAGGAGAAAGGGGAGGAGGTATCAACACCTTAGTGGGTCTGTGAAGGTGATCCCCCTGGAAACCCTGAGAGGTCAGGGGGCAGGAGGAGAGATACGTGCTCCTACAGCTGTGATGCTGACCCCCATCCTCCTAGCTCCATGGTGTGAAGAGCAGGACAGGGCTGACATCCATGACAATGAACTGCCCTCCCTCTTCCCCAGGGACTGTGCTTAAAACGGTGGACATGCCTGTGTCCAGGATCACCTCCTGCTGCTTTGGGGGACCTCACTACTCGGACCTGTATGTGACCTCAGCATCTGATGGCCTGAGTGCTGACCAGCTCTCCCAGGAACCCCAGGCTGGATGCATCTTCAAGGTGCTCCCATGGGGGAAGGGATCATGGGTAATGAGGGGCTTTCTGAGGAGGTCACCTCTTTGAGGGACTTTCCAGCTCTTCTGTGACTACAAGGACAGGCCTGGAGCCCCTGGGTTTTCCATGGGACTGGGAGCAGAATCAGCAGATACATAGACACAGGTCTCCAGCCATTTGCTTGACCAAACAGCTACTCCCAGCACCGTATCAAGGGGCGATCCAGCCCTGCAGGTGATGTTCTGCTGTTGCAGACCAAGGGTCCCAAAGAATGGAATAATTTTATAATTATTAATAATGAGACAAACAGCCAGGAATGAGATAAATCAGAGAGCATAAAACAGGGGGCCAGCAGTTTGCGACTGAAGACCCCAAGTCATGTTTCTCGGTGTATTTCTTGATAATCTGGGGAAGCACATAACAAAAGGAATTTCTTGTAAATGAAGGTGAATTTTTCTCTATTGTCAGCTTAATGCTCTCCCTCTCCTCTCCTCTCCTCTCCTCTCTCCTTCCTCTCCTCTCTCTCTCCATACTCTCTCTCACCATACTCTCTCTATATATATCTCTCTCCATACTCTCTCTCCCCATCTATCTCACTCTCCCCTTAGCTCTGTCTCTCCATCTTTCTGTCTCTCCATATCTCTCTCTCTCTCCATATCTCTCTCTCTCTCTCTCAAATATTCTCTCTCTCTGTGTGTGTGTGTGTGTGTGTGTGTGTGTGTGTGTGTGTGTGTTTTCTGGAAGAAGATTCTTGTTTCCTTCAGTACCTAGAGATCTCTGTGTGTTCTGACCATGCCTGGTGTGCACCAGGGATGAAGACATGTTGCATTCCACCCTTGGTCTTTTACCACCTACTGGGTTTATCATCTCCCGGTGGAGACTGTTTCATAGCTTCTACGTGGTATCATTGCATCTGTGTGTTTGGGGGAACACAAGTCTGTCCTTGTGGGGACAGACCATGGGGCTAACCCTGTGACTTCTTCTTCCTTGACAGGTGACTGGCCTAGGAGCAAAGGGGATCCCATCACAGCCATTTGCTTGCTGAGAGGGCTGGTCGTCCATCAGAGCACTGGGCTCAGAGGGACCAGGTGCATGTCATTCACATGTCAGCCCACAGCCGGGCCAGAGAATAAAGCTGACTGGCTCTCCAATGCTTTCTATCTCTTGCTTTTCTGGGTGTGCTTATAAACTCTTGAGGCCAACATCATGATCTTTGTCACAAGTCCTCCAGCAGCTGTGTGGGATGCACACCCAGATTACAGCCTCCCGGTGCTGCTTACAGAAAGGTCACTGGTTTGAATCGAGCAGCTGCTTCTTGGTAAAAAGATAGGCAGTCTTCTCCTGAGAAGATTGTACAGCCTCAGAAATGGTTGCAATGAGTTAAAGCTACCTTGATGGTCATGGGATAGACAGAAGTCCCTGTGTCAAGAGCCCTGGTAGTGCTGTAAGTAAGTGTAAGATGGATAACAGAGATGGCTGGACAAGGCAGAGCCAGCATCTGACCACAGTGTGGTCACCACCACCTGTGCCAGGCATCTGTATCTGAACTACTGGCTGTTCCTAGGGATGGAGTGAGTTGAGGGTGTCCCAAGATGCCCTTTGCTGTCCTCACATG